ACATATGATAGCTACGTTGTTATCCTTAAAAAATGTAAACGAATTGAAGTAAATACACAATTCTTAATCTATATATTCAAATACACATTTTTAATAAATTAAGAAAATACAACGATGCTTCTGTTTATTTTGGTTTTAGATCGGAGAAAACAAATATGTCACGGGATCTACCAATGGTCAAAAAAGCGCATGACTTGATAAAAGTGTTAGGGAAAATGAAGCATGAAATAAGAGGGTAAGACTGAATTTGTCCACTTACTTTTATTTTTATTTGCAAATTGCAGAAGAGATCCTTTGAGAAGGACTATTGTGTCATTTTGGGTCCTACTGAATTTCATGTTTTTTTGGTTATAACATGAGCAGCCATTTTCATGTAAGAGAAAAAGTGCGTTCTCATGAAAATTATTTCCAATAATTTACAATGTCAGAACGATTCTTATCATTTGTTCTTGTTTTTTCTTACAATATATATTTGTTCTTAGAACTTTTTTCTTAAAGTTCTTAGAATCTTACCAAATAAACAATTTTTTTCGTATAAAAGTTGTAATTATATATTTCAAAAAGTTTATTATCTTTAAAAAACTCAAAAGCAATTTTAATAAAAAAATTTATCATTTATGATTATTATATTTAGTTGTAGCCATCTAGATCAACACATACGGTTACTGATATTAAAATTAAAAATTATTTTTATTATAAATTTATGGGCATATTAAAAGACAATAAATCTTAACTTAGATTAGAGAATGCCGCAAAAAAGGTCTCTGGTGTAGTCAATTTTCTGTAATTTCAATCTACAAAACTTGAACTTAGTGGTCTAAAATCATATATTAACGCGTTCTCGAGCATTATGAAACATGAGTGAATGTTTTGTGAATAAGATTTTTGTAATTATTGTGATTGAAAATTTGATCCAAAAGAATTTTATAAAGTTTTATCATGATTGTAAAAGTTAAAACAATGGAGGAAAATAGAACACGACAACATGAGTTTAACGTTTAAACTTTACTAATTCAGTAATTGCTAATATCAAAGTTCTTAAAATCCAGGGCCGGTCCTGAGTTATCTTAGGCCCGGTGCAAACACGAAAAAAGGCCCCCTAAAAATAAGTTTATAATATATATATATATATATATATATATATATATATATATATATATATATATACACGCCGATATGCTCATATTGGTGACGTTATTGTTGTTGTGATCAAAGACGCAGTTCCAAACATGCCTCTAGAAAGATTAGAGTTGTAATTGTTCGTACTTGTAAAGAACTTAAACATAAAAACGGTATGATAATACGATATGATGAAAATGCCGTAGTTGTGATTGATCAAGAAGGAAATCCAAAAGGAACGTAAGTTTTTAGTGCGATTGCCGAAGAATTAAGACAGTTCAATATATATATATATATATATATATATATATATAGATATATTATATATATATATATATAGGATCGAACCCACATCAAACGAGAATTAGCGCGCGTACGGAATGAGATTTTGCCGGCTAGCTAAGTGACATTTATGATTTATTTTGAAGAAAACAAATATATATACACACATTATAAGTGTATAATTTTGTTAAATCGAGGCCCTATTTTTTCCGGGGCCCTGTGCGGCTGCACACCCTACACACATTTAGGGCTGGCCCTGTTAAAATCTTGCTCATCAAACATACTAAAAATTATATATATATAATATATATATATATATATATATATATATATATATATATTATATATATATCTATATATATATATATATATATATATATATTATATATATATATGGCCATTAGGTATGGTCTTCACGAACACAACTTCCTTCCACCTCCACGTCACCACCATACCTCTTCACCATGATTTCGGGATGGACACAAGAGAAATTTGTGGTCAAAGAGAGAAAGAAGACAGAGAAGGAGAAAAAAGGCAGAGAAAAAATCGTGGTCTCTTGTTGAACTGAGCACAAATCACCACGACCACGGGCCACCATGGACACCGAGGTTGATGTTTGTGATCGTGGTTCGTGGCCACGTAAATAAGGCTGGCCTTCGTTGTGACCATACCAGATGGTCTAATTAGTTGGTATGGTACTACCATGGTCTTGAAAAATTTATACCACTACCGTACAATTATTACTTGATTGCTATCATATTGTTAACCAAACATATTGACTACCAAACATATTGATTATCAACATTTTTTTTATTGGGTTGATAGCATATTAATTGGTTTTTCATGACACATATTTGACGATCCGACCCTCAATCCTTAAAAAAAAAAAAATCAATACCGCTATTCCAACCAATAGTATTTGGTATCCGTTATCTATTCAAAACATTTACCTTGTGATTGTTTTTTTATGTAACTTTTATCAAATAACCAATAACATTTTTGTAAAAGTGAATGGTGCAGCACGTGCGATTGATAAGGGAAGGTTTGCTGTGTGGGCTTGTGTTGCGGATGACTCACTTTAGGGATTACGGTATCTTACCAGCTAGATTGGAAGTTGGAACTGGACTTCAGCACGTGTTATGTCTTTCCTCTTCCGCTCGATTTTCAATAAAAAAATGATCTAACAATATTTTAATAATTAAAATACATAAAAATCGTTACATTTTAACTGTTATTATAATATAACGATTATATTTTTTTCGTCAATAAAAACAAATTAACATTATTTTTTTCTATCTCAATCACGTGCTATAACATGATAAAAAAAATTTGTTAAAATTTGGTTGCTTTAATGGAAAATTTAGCGCCAAGATATTAAAGTCGCTATAATTTTATTTTAACAAGCTGTAAGGAAGTTTGTGGAAGGCCAGGAAAGCGGTGTGTTAAGCTATGTAGAAGAGTTTCTGGTCTTTGTGCTACAGAATTGTTGTTATCATTCATTATCAGCAAGTTGACCCTTCACTTTTGTACTCCATATACGATGAAGATGAACGTTTGCTTTTTGGATGTTTTTTATGAACTTTTAGTTTCCGTGCATGATGGTTCAATACGATTGTCTATGGTGCTCCCATAACAAACAAATCAACTATGAAAACTTTGGTTTCATTCCAAGTAGTTGGTTTCGTTCTTGCTTTATTCAAAAGGCAATGTTTAAGATTAAACACTACATATAAGTGTTTATGGGTAAACATAGTCCAAAAATACAGTTGTTAAATGGCCAAAAATTGCAAAAATAGAGCCCTTAAGTTTTTGATATTTACACTTTTGTCAAACAAAATATAAATATTAACTGGACCCATTCCCAAACCCTGCCAGAACTAACTCCAAAGATATTAGTTTTGTTGATGTTGAACCAAGTTCACCTCTCCTTATCTTTAGCTTGGACTTTGTTATTCTCTCAGACTTTGGTCTCATTTTCTGCTTGGGTGTGCTTTCAGTCATTTGCTTCATGGGTAGATTATCAGTAGTTTTCTTAAGAGGTTGACTTTTAGTTCCCTTCTTCAAATGTTGAGTGTCGGGTACTACATCAACATCAGCACCTTTAATGACATGCTCGATATCAATGTCATGTTTTACAGTTACACTATGATTTGACTCTTCCTTCACATCAACATCCACAAAACTACCAACATCGATCATGTATTTCATGACTACCATCCTGCACATAATATAAATTTTAAGGCCACACGTCACTACCATTCATCGGTATGATATGTGCATCTCCTTACTAAAAACCAAGAGCTTAATTAGTACAATTAGTACTTAGATGGTTAAATGGTGACATATTCGTGAAAGTTTGATGATCAATTAAGTCCAAACTCCTACATAAAATTAGGGGTGGCAAATCGTGCTATCGTTTTGTGTTTCTGTCTGACACGACACGACACGACAAAGTTTTGTATAACACGAACACGACACGACACGATATCGTGTTTTTTTTTAACTAACACGAAAACGAACGAATTAAAAAACGACAAACACGACACGACAAATATAACATATACTAAATACTAGTTTATTTAATGAATACTTTATCAAATATAACACGATAAACACGACAAACACGATAAATAACTGTTAAATCGTGTCAATTTCATGTCGAATTTCGAACAGGAACACGACACGACACGACATCGTGTTTTTTACAGGTAACACGAACACGACACGAACACGAATTCAAATTTCAGTTTCGTCCCAATTTCGTTTCGTATCGTGTATTTTTGTCGTGTCGTGTCATAAATTGCCACTCCTACATAAAATAACCACAACAAATGATTGATTTTCTTGAACCAAAAACATACACCTAAAAGCAATGTAATACCATAACGTACAAGCAGCAACATAAACCAAAAACAATGAAATTATTGTACAGAAAAAGGTAAAACATGAAGATTACTTTATATTAGTCGAAATTTAAATGCTCGCAAAACCATGAAGAGCATATGTACACTTTAATGTTTCGATTTGTGTCATCATGTCTTGTCTTTGCACGAGTCCAGTTAGATGTTAAGATGATTCAATCCATCCTGCAATTTCACACATTCATCATATAAAAAACTTGGCACCTAAACATTAATCTTTATTCGAGAACAATTATGTCATTAAGATTGCCAACATGGGGGAAAGTGATCAACAACTAAAATTTTTGATTTGAACATCTACTTATTCCATGAAAATGAATAGAATAAAGATTAATGGTGAAATAAATATGGTATAAAGGGAAGACTTAATTCCAAAGCCATCGGATACAAATGAAGGGAGGCCAAAAGAGTTGAGAGTTAGCAGAATTATCAGCAATCGGCCCAATGCTACCAAATCAAAGACACCCACACCACGATTCTTCGTCAAACCATCATCTTCCCTACTTTGCCCTGTGAAGAACACACAGTTACCTTTGCATCAAGGGAAATGTGAAGCAGAAGCTGAAAACCCACAATTATCCCCTAAAAACAACATTTTTTTTTGAAAGGGCAATAATTATCTATTCTCCTCTCCCTTCTCCTCTTCCTAGGATTGAACAAAAAACCTCTAGTGAGATGTTAGTTTAGAACCTCGTGGGCTAGCCCCAACTTGTCTAAAAACAGCATTCGATCACCCAAACTTTTCACCTCAATCCACTTCTGTTCTTCGTGATCCAACTTGTATACCTCAAGTTTCACAGTTCTTTCGCTCATGAAACAATCGAAATCTTCATAAAACCCGTAGTTCTCATCATCATAATCGAAATCGTTATCAGGTCCAACACTCCAAAACTTGTCGACCATAAACAATTCTCCCATGGATTCCAACAAAATTTTTTTATCCCCGCCGAACACAGAATTCGCTATGACTTTCATTGTCGTCTCTGAATCCATAACCAAAACTACAGTCCTGCCGGTGATATCCACAGGCCGCAGCGTAGAACTTCCCTTTATAGAATATAACGTCGTCGTAAGGCGACGCTATATCGTTGATTATGTTCCGTTTCTTCTCTCCGGTTTTCAACATAGCCAATCTTCCACTAGTTGAATCGTCAAGAACACGAACCCATCAACACCCAACCTACAGAACGCAACCTTTTCCATTAACGTAATAATGTGTTTAAGACATACTCTTGCCTAACTCTTGATTTTTTTTTTATTTTTTTTTTTGTAAATTCAATACTGGAAGGAAAATATTGACAAAAAGAAAAAGAGGGGAAGAAAAAATTTCCTTATTTTGTGTTTCCAAGTTCGAAAAAAATTAAAGGAAAATTTTAAGTTTCTGTGCTCTCGAATTAATAAGGAAAAGAAAATAAAACTAAAAGATTTTCCTTCCCGCTTTCTCTAGAATCCGTGCAATTTTGAATAAAAATTTGAAAAGAAAATATGGCTCCAAATTTTTTTTTCTTTTCTCTCACTTTCTTTCCATCAATTAAACTTGGAAACATGATTTTCCTTTGACATCCCTCACCTTCCCTCCGTAACCCTCCTTAAGTAGAACTCGGGAACAAGACGTAAAATTTAACAAGTCAAGAGATAGGGAAATGAAATCGGATGCGGTTAACAGATTCATTAGATGAGTTTTTGGGAGTTTGACTATTTCAACCTTGATTAGCCATGGAGCGTGGGTTTGTTGAGAACCACAAAAGATGGTCCGTTTGGCGAAGTAAAAACCCAAGGTGGAATCGAAGATTCCGGATTTGTGAAGAACCGAAAAACAGGAAGTCAAATGTTGTATAGAGGATCTCCAGGAGGTGCAAAAAGATCGGAAACATACAAGATGGGTCTCGGAGTTAGGGCTGTTTGGTAGGATCTGAATTATTAAGATCTGGATTTTTAAGAGGTCTGAATTTGTAAGAGGGTCTGAACTTTTAAGATCTGACCTTTTAACATGTTGTTTGGTTGGAACCTCTGAATTGTAATCTGAATGATAAAAATGACCATTTTACCCTTCTATGGTTCTATATTGTGCTAAATTATAAATGCATAATTGATAAAAATTACAAGTGATCATACAATAACCAAATTAAACATAAATTCTTTCAAATTCACTTTTTTCAATCCAGTGAAACATAAAAATCATACAATAAAACCAAATTAAACATAAATTCTTCCAAATTCACTTCTTTTAATCCATGAAAACATAAACATCATACAATATCCAAATAAAAATACTTCTTTCAATCCATGTTGCAACTAGTGACATTGGAAAAAAAACACCACCACCAATCCCATATGTCTTGAAACCAAATTTACTTCCTGCACACTTAAGAAACAACCATACTATTTTTCACTCTTTTATCAACAAAAAATCAGCACAAATCAAAAGAAATCATACCATCAAATGTGAAGAAATTAGACCATGAAAATTTTTATAAAGAAAACATATGATGAAATCAACACACAATTCCATCGGAACATAATCCATATCAGCAAGAAATCGTCCATTATCAACAGGTACACAAGTTAATAATCAAAGTTCATAACAAAAATTCCAGAATCCAAGTTCATAATTGTTTCAAGTATCAAAATTTCAACATCAGATTTTGAAACATGTCGGATTTCAAGTGTCACCCACATTGAACATTTTAAGAGACGGAAATTGATGATCCTAATAACAGTTTTATCAAAATTTATACATACATCAACACTTAAAACCCAATCCAAATCTGTTAGAAGCAAAACATTCCGGAAAAAACAAATTCAACTCTTATTATCGAGTTTTAGGGCAAAGAGGAAGAAAACGATTGATTTTCAGACCAAAACATCTGAAAAAATATGAAAAAAAAACGACCAAAACAGCCCTAATATGTTGAATTCGATTACCAGATGAAGAAGAAAAGAAAAATCTGATACTCGATTTTAAAGGGGAGGCACCATCGATTTTTAGACCAAACAATTCATAAAAAAACAGTAAAGTTATCGAGTTTGGGGGGAAAGAAGGAAGAAACTCACCTGGAACGTTGGAGACGGAGGTGGCAGCATCGTTCGAGGAGGCGGCAACGACGTTGAGGTGCAGCGGCGTCGTTGCAGGCGGCGGCGGAGGAGAACCTGGTGAAGGGAAGAACCTCGCACATGGATTGAAGAGGAAGAAGGGGTGCTGGTTTAGTGAAGGTGTTCGTCGATTGTTTAGGGTAGAAAAGGAAAACGCGTGTTTTTATAAAATTCAGACTTGGTTTAATATCTGAATATATTTAAGAGGCATTTAGAACTTTAAGAGGTAAAAAATAAGAGGCAAACAAACAATCTGAATCTGAATTTTTAAGACCTTGCCTCTTAATTTTGCAATTAAGAGGTAAACAAACAGGGCCTTAAGGTGTTCGGATATGAATCAAGAAGCTCTCTAGGAAGTTGAGACCAATCTTTCACCATTTTTACAGTAATGATAATGGAAATAAATCACCAAATGGAGATTTCATTCCTATAAAATAAAGTATGGGTAAAAATAATTCGGTGTGTTTAGTTTGTTTTTTTTTTCAAATCTTTTTGGCGTATTTTGTTTGCGCCGTACAAATTATGGTAAATATTAGCCTTTGTAGATGGTTTGTTTTTTAGAAGACTACGGGTTTTTCAGAAGACCGCGAACCTAAAAAGGTATGTGCGTTCTCTTTCTGGCGCAAATATGGTATAGAGTCTTCTAACATGTTCAGACATATTCTATTCGTTAATTCATACCATTTTACATTTTACTTTTCATAGAAAAATTTGTAAAAATGGTCCCTATGTTTAGCCGAAAATTGTTACTTTGGTCCAAAAAGTTTTGGACAAAAAATGTTTGGACCAACACCACAGGTCCAAAACTTTCATTGTGTTATGAGTTTGGTCCAATTTATTTTGATTTTTTTTAAATGATGAGTTTGCTCTTGATATATATATATATATATATATATTATTTACTTTAATATTTTTCTAATTAAAAGAAAAATAAAAAATAAAATTCAACCCTCAACCCACCTCCTACTAACCTTTTTAACCCATCCTCTCACTTTTAACATACTAACTCTCTCTCTCTCTCTCTCTCTCTCTCTCTCTCTCTCTCTCTCTTTTCATTGGCTGTCGGAGCACCACCAGTTTCACCAGGGCACCGTCATCCGACCACCAAAACCATCTATGATGTTGGAGCACCACCATCGGTGCCACCTTTTTAGTCCTCGCCCTTCATCTTCTCTGTTGTATTCATCAAAGTCGTTTCCCATATTTGTTCATCCGACCAAACTTCAACAATGACGGAGGGACAGAGAGAAGAGAAGCTGGGGGTGGGAGTGAGAAACCCTTGCCAGACCACCACCATGTGCAAACCCTTGCTCCGATCTTCGCTCGGTTGAAGGGATAAGTGAACGGACGTCTAAATCGTAGGGTTTTCTGAAGAAGCCGACGTCGGAGAAGTAGAGAGACGAAACCGGTGTCCAGATTTGTAAATACCACGACCACCAGTCGATTAGGTTTTTTAACAACTAAGGTTTTCTAAAGGCAACGGGTAAAGTCAATGACGAAGGGCTAGTCGATGGCGTCGTTGCGAACTCATTTAAACTCATTTGTTCGCCTTCGTGGACATCAACTTACAATAGATCTGAATTCATCGAAGCAGCATAAAAAATGAGAAAGAAGATGGCGTCGGAAGTGGTCTAAGTAAGTCTTCGCTGATGTCGGAGCCATTATGACGGAATGCCCACCTCCTATCCAACTACTAGAGAATGAGAGGGCATTGGAGAAATAGATAGATGAATTGTAGATAGAATGAAGGGTTTGGAGGTTGTTTCCAGAAAGAATGGTGGTTGTGGCGGTAGATTCTGGTTGATCATAGAGGTTTATGGCAGGTGGCGGTGGTTTCCGGCTAGTGGTGATGGTTTCGGTGACACAATGGAGTGAGAAAGTGACATGGATAGTATGTATGTTAAAGAAATATTGGGTGGGTGTAGTAGTAGGGGTGGGTTTTATTTTTATTTTTATTTTCTTGTTTAAAAAAAATTGAAAATTTTAAAAATTTATAAGAAAAATGGAATAAAACTAAATTTGTGTAACTTTATGGAATAAAAGCAAAGTTTTTTTAGGGTTGCCCTCAATAACTAGCAATAGATAGAGACAAGGTTAGGAGGGTAATGATATTAATTTATTATATGATTAACAAATAAATTAAAAATGGTTTAGAATTAATTTAGAACTAATTATAATTAATTGGAAATTAATTTTGGATTAATCGGAATTAATTAAATGTGCAAGAGTTAAATTATAATTGGTTTTTAATATTAAATTATAATTGTTCATAATTTTGCAAGGAATGCAATTATAGAACCTCCATATATAGTGGAGGATTTTCATAGGGTCCCAGAATGGTTCTGGAAGCCTCCTAATAGCCGATAAAGATAAGCATATTGAATAGATTAAATTCGAATATTTAATTATTCAAATTAGGGTTTATCACGGAGATCCACCAGCTATAAAAAAAGTACCCTTGGCATCATATTTTCGGCCCTAGCTCTTCACAAGGAGAAATTCGATTTCTTTCTTCCTCGTCTCTCCTATATTTTGTTCCCAGAGTTTTTAGGGTATTCGGTGTGAGGCATTAGAGGCATTCACATTATTAGTGTTTTCTTTCCAAGGAAAAATTGAAGATCCAAGAGTGCTATATTCGATTATAGCATAAGGTATGTATTCTAATGTGATTTGTTACATGAAATGAGTACATTAGAATGATTGTTTCATAGTATGTTGTCATAATGAGAAAATGTTATAAATCTCTAGGTTGCATGTACCCATAGATTGTTTATGAATTCTGTTGTGTAAATCTTTTGTTTATAACCTAGAAAACCCATCACTGGTATTAGAGTCTAGGATTTTCTATTATATGTGCATATATTAAACTAAAATAAAAAAACCTGATAAAACTGAAAATC